TACGAGAAGAAAATGGTTGAAATATCTCCATTTATTCACTTGTATAGTGAGAAAATACTATAGTTGTCCATAATTTTGATATTCCATGACTTTCCATGACTTTCCAATGGAAAAAATAATTTTCCATGACTTTCAAGGCCTTAAAAGCAATAAAGTAAAATTCCATGACTTTCCAGGTTTTCCATGACCCGTACGAACCCTGTATTATTATTACTCTGCAGCAGAATATGCCTGCCCTGTATGGGGAAGATCATCCCATACAAAGAAAGTTGATGCAGCACTCAACGACAGCCGCAGATGCATCACTGGCTGCCTCAAGCCCACGAATGTGGACAGCTTGCACTCCCTGGCCGGCATTGCTCCATCCGATGTCCGCAGAACAGTTGCAAGTAGGACTGAACGCAGCAGACAAGTTGAGGACACCCGCCATCCCCTTTACTCGCATCAACCGGCCCCTACCCGCCTGAAGTCAAGGAAAAGCTTCCTTCATACAGTCCAGCCACTGTCACAACCTCCTCATTCAACCAGAGTGATCTTGTGGGAAGAGAAACGTTCTGAAAACCACCACCATGAAAAGCTACCAATCCCGACCAAGGAACAGCTGCCCCCTGGCCATAGATGTGATTGGAAGACGTGGAAGTCCCTCATGAGGCTTCGCACAGGTGTGGGGCGATGTAAATACAACATGAATAAATGGGGATATACTGACGACGCAGACACCAACTGCGAGTGTGGAACATCCGTGCAATCCATGTCACACCTATTAAGATGTCCACTCCTAATCGACCAATGCTGCCTGGAAGACCTGGTGGCAGCAAATGAGAAGGCTCTCCAGTGTGCCAAGGCCTGGCAGAGCATTTGAGGACACGAAAGAAGAATACAAAGTGTATATATCCTTCTCTTGAACATGATATTATTTATTTTTGGTGCTTGATAAATCTTTATAGATATTTATCACAACTATGAAATTTTAGATGGTTACCATTTCGTGTTTTTTCTTTTCTTTTTACTTTTTTTCAGTTATGAGTTATTAGTTTTTGATCGATCGGGTGGGGGGAATGTAATGGACAGGTGTTCACTGAATAGATGTTGTTGGTAGCAATTTACTAGGTCAACTAACCTACTCGCGTCAAGTCGTTGAGTCAACGCCCGTTGCGGTCGTACACCGGTCAGGTTGGACAGGCTTAGCAGGTCATGCACCACCGCACCGGGATACTACATACACCGGAGTATTTCGTTTCACATACTCAGAAACAGGAAGAGGTGGTATTTACGAACTCTAAATCGGGACTCTCTAACCCACAACAGTTTACTTTATATATAAAGACCAGGCTAGAGTCGGTGGATGATTGATTTTATGTTATACCTCGAAGGATGACCTGGTCATCAGGTAATTTATTTTCCTTTGGAAATATGGAGTGATATATTGTGATATAATCGAGTACCGATAAGACGATATATACAGTGATAGGATATACTCCTATCTAAGTTCATAGTGATTCTGAATCATTGTATTTTTGTCAATTATTTGCATGTTTAATTGTATTGACAGGGTGCTACAAGAATTTTTTTCACCACTTGCCCTGTCGGGCAAGTGGGTTTTCAATTTACTTGCCCAAACAATATTTCCACTTGCCCAAAACTTTAAAGCGAAAAAGGACTCGAGGTTAAAGCATTTATTATCTCGTAACTCTTCCATCAAGAAACGTCATGTAAATAATGGGTAATCAACTATTTTAAATAAAGTACGGACATTTTTATTTCATCATTCACTGCTATAAATATCATGCCAAAATTTGTAAATTCTTACTAAATAATAATATTGAAGATATTTTACGATAAATCTCGGATAAGTATGCGAAAACTAGACTAAACAACGTCGCTAAAACCATGAAAACAAAACAACAACGGCTTATATTCTGGGGGTCTCGATACTATTATCAAAATGACTCGCTCGGTCGGATCTTGAGACCGCAGTAATAAATTGAAAACGAGACAAAAACATTCATCTGATTTATATGAGCAGCGAGTTTTAAATAATATGTTCACAATCATTAACAGTCATTATGAATAAATATCAAACATTTGACTTTTTGTACTTACTAGAAAATCCCTGTTGTTTATTCCATTCCGATTCGCACGTGTTCATTTCCCTAGAATAATGACGTCATATTTGGCGTGATTCAACCAATCGGCAATCAGAGAATAGCAAAGGCCTGTCGGTGCGGCCTGCAGAGCTAGAGAGAGAGAGCGCGAATAAGCTCGCAGCTGGTACGATCGCGCTAGCTGTCTCTAGCTAGCTCACGGCCGGCCGTGCGTGGAGGCGGAGCGGCATTCATGGCTTGAAGTGTCACTGTTGCATGCGCGCTGAGCTAGCTGAGCTGGCTAGCTGTCTGTGAAGTTTTTTCGAAATCGGAACGATCGCTTTTTTGCTTATGGATTTTGACGACGGGTAAGAAGTTGACGGGTGAATGGTAGAGTTCTTGGACACTAGGAAATTACTGTAAAAGTATCACTTGCCCGAATCGGGCAAGTGATAATTTGATTTACTTGCCCGACGGCTCAATTTGGTTGCCCCGGGACGTCGGGCAAGCGGGTTTGTCGCGCCCTGATTGAGCCGATGGCTCTTACATAAACTGTACACTATATTTTATTCTTGAAATTGCTTGATTTTCTTGTGATACATACTCATTTCATCAGAACCTAATTTATCGTCAGACCATAGTAATTTACAGTATTTAAATCTGACAACGAGCAATAAAGGTTTGAATTTTGCATGGTCGCGCAATTTTAGGACACAACATCGGGCACGCAATATTCAGACAACCTAGTAAATTGCATCAATAAAATCATCATGGAATCCGTTTTTTGCATCGCCAATGCGTCGATCAAAAATATGAAACCTTTTTATTAAGGACGCATCGGTCCGCGTTTACGAAGATCATCCTCGTTTATGAAGACGATCCTTATTCTTGAACCAGCGCCCCTACTGGTGGCATGCCATCGAACTAAGTTGCGCTTAAGTTAAGGAGGCCCTTTCTCACTTTAATTGGAAGCCACTCCAGCAGATTGGCCAATGGGAGCGAGTAAACTCATGGTATAGCGCTCAATGCGCAAAGTTCTCATGGTAGGGAGGCCAATGCCCAAATCTAACTTTTTAATTACTAATTTGTTTATACTAAAACTAAGATTAAAAGAAAGCATTTACTTTCACTAAGAAAATCCACCCATCTGCCGACTCCATAGGTTCCATCAAATAGGAGATATCCAGCTGGTTTGTAGCCATTTCCTTCTACGCCTTTCCGTACGTAAGAGCCTTGAAACAATTATATTTCATGTCGCAAAGTTACGTTCATAATTAGACAGGCCCGAGGGACAAAGTTCATGATGAAGTTTAAAACTTCGCGCGAAAGTGCAATCACTCAACAGCGGCTAGCCTTGAATCGGTCGCACACGTACACACCTTCTTCTTCTTAGTTGATCCCTCCACCGACACAGGCAAGCCCCGATGCAGGCTGAAGTCCAGCCATCAATGTGCGAACGATTACATCTTCTACTACTACGAGCCGAAGACGATGGTTCAAAAAAGGAAAGAAATATATATAATTCATTGATATTTACCTTAGATGTGTATTCCAATAATTTGATTTCCTCATGAGTATTCCTTATTATCAACGATCGAGAAGTTACGAGGTCCAATTAAAATCCATCTTGCAGCGAACACAATCATAGCGCACATCCATGCATGCAACGTACGTGTACTAATATTTCTCTCTCTCTCTCCCTTTCGCTATACGTAACATACACACTCACTTAACCATGTATCATACAACACACACCTTCAAATCATGGCTTTCATTTCAATTCTCAATTGGAGTATAGACTGCTCACGTAGACTTTTTTTTTTACTGAAATATCTTTTTTAACACTTCTCATACATTACTGCACGACACTCGTATCTAGTGCTGTGAGAATAAGGTACTAGGGTCTATAAATAAGACTACGCTTTGCGCACGATCTGACCGGAGCTCAGATTATGTCGCAATACCCTTTATTTTTGGCGCGAACAATGACGTCACTGTTCACTGTTTTCCTTCTCATTTTGAGATGGATGTAGCTATAGGGCTCAAACCAACGCAAGATTGACAGAAACATCGTACTCTATCTACTTTCGAATGTTCAGTTTGTAAAAATCTGTATTTAAAAAGATACAATCTTTTTTTTATATATTTTCTAGATCCTAGTTGTTAGAAGTGGCAATTGTGAACATCTGAAATGTTGATCTCTATCAAAAGTTCTTTACTCAAAACGGATCCCATATTTTTAGGGTCTACCTTCTGCCTATGAGAAGGTTTTTAGTGAGCAAACCTCTACGCCCTCTAGGATTTTCTTAGTCGGTGGTGCGAGTGCGTCAAGGTCGTCTGCAACCACAATTATTGGATTAAAAAACGTCAAAATCTGCAAGATTGTCAACAAATGGTGAAAGACTGTTACTGCCAAAGAAAAAAACATCCACAAAGATCCTTATTTTTAAGGACGCAATATGTCCGCTTTTACGAGTTTATCCTCGTTTACGCGGATGATCCTCATTCTTGGACCAGCGCCCTCTACTGCTGGTGATGCTGGTTTTTGTGTCAAAATGACATCGCCATATTTTCTTGCGAAAATGATCACAATGAGTATTATTTTCCAAATTTCAACAAATCTTTTGGCACACTTAAGTTAGATGTAGATCTAGATCTAGTCTACTCCCTACAATAACAGGAATAGGTTGAAATCAAGCATAATGAAATTTCTTGTCAAGTAGGATATTGTAAGATGTCGCCAATGTCACTGATGTAGGCTACAGCACCAGTGTAGGTTTACAGAAGTGTAAACCGAGTCGTACAATAGGCGACTTGACACAGTGTATAAATATCCTTTAGTCTCCTCAACACCAAATGTTTTTATTCACAAGATATTACCCAAATTGCAACATAATATAGGAATATTAGAATTACCGGTAAGAAAGTCCTTGTAGATAATCATTGTGATAGGATTAACTGGATTCTTGATAGGTCCAGAACGTCTTCGTCAGCTTTGATTCGGCTGCGGACTAAAAAGGATGTTACGTGTGGATAAACGTACGTACATACACCGTAAACTGGCAAGGCAAGTACGTCGTTGAGGTGACTCATATTATAAGCGCATGCGTATGATGGCTAGCTAGGTTGAACGAATGAATGAATGAATGAATGAATGACGAATGAATCGTGCATGCAACTGCACTGGCCACTCACTACAATTATATGTTAGTCTGGTATCCATGCGGATTTGTGATTTATGATTTCTTGAATTTACCAATCATTGCCAGTAGTAAATTACCCCGCGACGGTCAGGGGCGATGGAACGTCTTTCAAAGTGGCAGAGGACTAAAAAAAAAAAAAACACTTCGAGAAAAAAGGAGGCAGCCACAAGCAGTGGCGTACGCAGGATTTTTTTTAAAGGGGGGGGGGGGGGTTTAATTGCCGGATGTTGTCATAAATGTGACCCCACGAGGTATAGCGAAGCGGAACAGAAGAGGCTTTGCATGGGAGGGGGTTATTCCATCCAACGTCGTGAATTAGCAACTAGCAATTAAAAACCTGGGGTTTTTCCTGCATTTCGATTTTTCATGTTTCTTTTTTTCCCCTCACATTTGACAGAAAATCAAGACAGGCATATAAAAAGCATGTTGCACAATTAATGACCACTCAATTCACGTGTCAGACTAAAGTTAAATCCTCGGAAATATTGAAAAGCGCCCCCCCCCCCTTAAACTTGTTTTTGTGTGTGATTTGGAGGACCCCCCCCCCTTCCTTTTTTTTAATTAATTTTTTTTTTTTTTAATTGTGGTAAAGGGTGAAAAAAATCTGACCTTACTCCCCCCCCCCCCCCCTTCCCCACTCAACGAAACAAACAAAATTTAGACCGGCCAAATTTTCAAATTTTGGGACACACAAAAACAACAAAAGGTGTTCTTACTCAGGGGCGGCGGAACGACTTCCAAAATGGGAGGTTGGGGGGGGGGGGGAAGGACACCAACAACAAAAAAGCGCACTCATCAAAAAAAGGGCACCTACAAAGGGAAACCTCAAAGCGAAGAAAACAAATTAATTAGTATAGGCCTGCCCCTGCATTGTGATTACATTATCAGGAAGGAGGGGGGGGGGGGGGTTCAACCCCCCCGAAAACATAATTTCATTATCTATAAATTACAATTGCCAGTGATCGAAGTCATCGAACTACTGAACTTGAACTAGCTTAACTCTAAAATATTAAAGCACTTTATCATTTATTGGAATGATGTTCTTTCAGACCAAAATGTTGAAAGTGCTTTTGATAATTTCTTTAATAAATTCATATTGATGTATGGTGAGAATGTTCCTCTGGTTGAATATAAAAAGAAGAATTATAACAAAGTTCCTCGTATGCCATGGATAACTAAATCAATATTAAGGTCAATTACTAAGAAAATAAGTTGTATTAATAATAATAATAAATTTAATTTATATAGCGCTAAATACAAATGTCTCTAAGCGCTTTACAAATATATTATTACCCCGGTCATTGGATTCAGTGCTTACCCGCACACAATGTGTGCACAATCTCCACTCCCTGGGGAGTATTCCAGCCAGGCGTTACATGACGCTCAAAAACTGTTTGACCAACAATGACGGTCGCATCCTACCGGGTACCCATTTAACACCTGGGTGGAGAGTAGCAAGTGCAGGTTAATATCTTGCCAAAGGATATTAGTGCCGTGTCGGGATTCGAACCCTCGACCTTCGCATCTCCAAGTCAAGCGCCTTAAACCACTCGACCACTTTTATCAATATAAAAGGAGAAGCTCTGATTTTTTGTGGAGAAAGTATTCTAATGATAGAAATACTCTTACTTCTGTATTGCGTGATGCTACGAAAAAATATTACTCTGCTCAATTTCAAAATGACATTTAATAATATTAAGAAATAAGAATACATGGAAAGTAATTAGAAGTTTTTTTAAACCATCAGTAAAAACTACAAATATCAAATGTATAAATGTGAATGGTTGTTCCGTAGAAGATAGACAAATTATTGTGGACAATTTTAATGATTATTTTTGTAATGTCGGGCTAAAACTTCAGGACTCTATTTCTAGATGTCAGAAAAGCTTTATTGAGTTTATGCAAGAACCCAAATATAGATATGTTTTTAATGCCCTCAAATGAAATAGAATTGTTTAAACTTGTGAGCTCGCTTAAAAGTAATAAAAGTCCTGGCTTTGATGGCATAAAAAATGAATTAATTAAGGATATTATACATGGAATTGTGATACCACTTGTTTATATTTATAATTTGTCTTTCTTATCTGGTATTGAACCGGGACAAATGAAAATTGCTAAGGTAGTGCCAATATTTAAAAAGGGTGATCCTCAAACATTAAGTAGACCCATTTCACTATTGACATCCTTTTCAAAGCTTTTAGAAAAGCTTATATATGATAGAACAGTGATATTTAAAAAAAAAGACTAAAATATTTTCAAAATTCCAGTTTGGCTTTCGTGAAAAGCACACCACTACACATGCAATTTTACACTTTGTTGATAAAATAGCTCAAGCACTAGATGGTCACCTTCATACAATTGGTTTATTTTTGGATTTCTCTAAGGCGTTTGATACGGTTGATCATGAAATTTTAATAAGTAAATTGTTATATTATGGAGTGAGGGGCATCGCTCGCTCTTAGCTGGTTCAGGAGCTAGTCATCAAACTATATCTTGTGGGGTCCCTCAGGGGTCCCTTCTTGGCCCCTTCTTTTTATATTATATATTAATGATTTTTATCTTTCATCTGATATTTTTCATAATTTTTGCAAATGATTCAAGTGTATTTTTTTTCTCATAAAAACCCTAAAGTTTTATTAGATACAGTTAATATTGAATTAAAGAAAGTTATGTTGTGGATTCATGCAAATACGTTGTCCTTGAATCTTCAAAAGACAAACTATATGTTTTTTAGTAACTCCCTAAAGGATGTACCTGGAAATGTATTTTTTGATGATGTTAATGTTGTGAGAGTAACTTCCACCAAGTTTCTTGGGCTACATTATTGATGAGAAGCTGTCTTGGGCATCTCATTGTACTAATATTTGTAAAGTCGTGTCTAGAAATACTGGTGTAATTTATAAATTAAGTTCTTTTGTCCCACAAGAAATTTTGCTTATTTTGTATTCTACTTTAATTTGGCCTTATCTCAATTATGGAGTGCTGGCATGGGGGAAGTCATTGAAAACACAATTAGATAAGATTTGTGTTGCCCAAAAGAGGGTGGTTAGAGTTGTGTTTAATGCGAGCTATCATGCTCATAATGTTTTGTTCTACAGTAATAAGCTATTGAAGGTTGAAGACATATTTTACTTTATACAGTGAGTTAGGCGCAATTATGTATGGTTTTGAAAATGGTACTCTCCCAAATGCGTTAGTACAAATATTTCGAAAGAACAATCAAATTCATAGCTATAATACAAGGCAGGCAACTGCACTTCATATTCCACGTGTAAGAACTGCTTTTGCTCTGAAGACGCTGGCTTGTACTGGTCCCAAGTTTTGGAACTCACTTCCTATCAATGTAACTAGATATGTCAGTGTCTTTGTTTTTAAACGCAAATTGAAATTACATTTATTGAGTAACTATGTCGACAATTAACATAAAAATTATATCACCAGAAATGATATTAGGTAATAATTTATCAATTGTTATTGATAACGGGCATTATCTTTTTGTTTGTGTTATGTTTGATTATTCAATATAAATGTCAGCATTTCACATTCTCTTCCGCCCCCCCTCCTCTCTTCTATTTTGCTTTTTCTTTACACCAAATACCATTTCCCCATTTATACATATAACTTTCTTCTTTCTCTGTTTTTCTCTGTTGTGTTGTTTTTCTCGTTCCAGTTTGCTTTTTTCCTCTCGATCCCTTTGTATATATTTTCATCCTCTCCTTTTCAAATTTCAAGCTATCCCTTTTGTAAATATTTCCCCCATATTTAATCATGTGTAGTTTTGAAACATTGATGGATTATGTTATATGGGGACCTTGCTCTTACAAGCCCAGCTTTTTTAAGGTATCCATTTTCTTTCATTTGGATTATATATTGACTTAAAGTTGCACTTAAGTTGTTTTTTCTTATGCTGTTTTTTGTTCTATTATTATATGTAAAAATGTTGTGAAAGAAAGAAATAAAATGAACCCTGAACCTTGAAAATGAACCTATTTAACCCTAATGAGGCCGGGGGGCATTATGCCCCCCCCCGCTCCACAATTTTTCAGATTGCTCGGAAACGCATATGGATGGCGCCCCGCCGCTCGCTGACTTTTTTCTTTCGAGTCTTGCGCAACTGGGGGGGGGGGGGGGGGCGGGCATAATGCCCCCCCCCCCCCCGCCGTACTAAGACCTCAAAAAGCCCGGCCTTTTTTAGGGTTAACGCTCCCTTGAATTAGACTAGCTAAACTGTAGTGCCGTATGGCCGCTGCTCCATTCGTATCAACACACATAAACTGCACTGCAGTGTAATGCTAGTAATAGTATGTATGCATAGCATGTATCTAAAATCTAGTTAGTTTTGCCTACATCGTATGCATTATACTAGGCTTAGCGCCTAGGGCTGGGTGATATATCGTGAATGAATGTTACTCTCACAATTGCTCAATTTTGAGTCACGTAACCATTAAAGTGAATGAATTTCAGAGGATGTCAGCGGCAAGTAAATCTGACATGAATGCACTCGCAGAGCAGTTTGCATCAGTGACTGGTGAGCTAAGACTAAGTTTAACAAGTTTAACTTTTTTTTAAACTTTCATTTTCAACTTCAACTTACAAGATACAACTACAGTTTATTATTAATTTAAGAGGTTAATTTTATCTTGTTAAAACTTTTATTTACCTGCAAAGTATTCTTGAGCTTATATAGCAAAGAAGAAGAAGAAGAAGGAAGTAGCTAGCCTAGGGTCTTAGACTAGTTTAAAGAGAGAGCCGACCCTACCCAAATAAGAAAGAAAGAGACGAAAAATTCGGTCTAGTATTCTTGAGCTTATATAGCAAAGAAGAAGAAGAAGAAGGAAGTAGCTAGCCT